GTGCTGATAACACTAAGGCCACGGGTTCGGATCCCATATATGGATGGCTGGTTGGCTCACTTGGGAGATCGTGGTACTGACAACACCAAGGCAAGGGTTGAGATCCCCTTACCGGTCATCTTTTAAAAAAAAAAACACGTTTAGCCACATCAAGCAGTCTGTCAGTTCCATCTCCTTGAAGCAATCTGTTCCCAGTTCTCTGCCTTCCCCAATCTGAATTAGTTGTACACTCTGCTGGCCACATAGCTGTCATCCTGGGATCTCTCTCTCCCCCACTATCCTGGGGAGCCCCTTTGACTTGCTCTTGTGTTTCTCTAATCCTATGTCTTCCTCTTTCTTGGTTTACTCCTTCATTTTGGTGGAGCAGTTCCCTGAGAAAGAACTCATAGGAGGTAAGCTTTTTGAGACCTTGCATATCTGAAAATATTCTTCCACAACTTGCTTGATAAGTTTGGTTGGGTGTCAAATTCTAGGTTAAAACCATTTTCCTTCAGAAGTTTGAACACCTGGCTTTATTGTCTTCTAGCTTTGGCTCTTGTTGACTAGCCCAAAGCCATTTTGATCCATTATCTATGACGTGTTTATTTTTCTTTTTTGCTAATACACTACAATTTCATAATGATGTCCTATTGTGTGTATCTATTTTAATCCATTTTTCCAGGCACCCAACAGGCTTTTTCAGTCTAGAAACTTGGATTCTGCAGATGAAGGAAATTTTCTTGTATTGTTTTATTAGTCATTTGGTCCCCTCTTTCTTCTCTCTTCTCTTCCTAATATTCCTACTATATTAGGATGTTGGAACTCTAGACTATTCCTTAATTTTCTTATATATTTTCTCCTATTTTTCTTTTGTCTTTTTGCTCAATTTTCTGTTAGATTTCATCTAACTTGTCATTCAGCCCTTCTATTCAGTTTTTCATTTCTACTGTCATATTTTAAATTTACAAGAGTTCTTTTGGTCTGAAAGTTCCTGTTTTATCACATCCTATTCTTGTATTGTGGTTGCAAAATCTTTTCTTTAAGGATATTGAGTAAATTTTTTTCTTCCTGCATGGTCCCTACTTATTCCAAATTGGTCTCTTTCTCTCTCTCTCTCTTTTTTTTGATTGTCTGCATATACTTCAAGAATTGGGGGACTTAAAGTTACTTGCAAACTCTGAGCTTATGGGAGGGGCTTATCCACTGAGCTCCATTATAGGATGGTCTGGTTTAATGGTAATCCCTAAGAAATCCAGATATAGTATCTCTGAGTCATTCTTTTCAGGCTGGTCAGATCTTCCTTAGAGAAGATTCTTCTATTGTCCTATCAAGAAGGGAAAGAGGGCAAGGTCTGGCATGCTAATGTTTACTTAATTCCTCTGTTTTGACACTGACCTTTCCTTATCTGTCCTGGATTCCCCAAAGCCAGAGACTCTCTCTTTAACTGGCTCTGGAGATTGAACCTCTAGCCTTCTGCTGGGGTGCAGGGGGCAGGTCCCAGCATCTTGGAGTAGAATGAGGACTTGGACTTCTTAAGCAGACTTTTAACCAATCCTTCTGGTTTATCACCCTTCCCCACTTTCAGAAGTACCCAGTGCCTCTGGTTCCTGAGCTTTTGGGGAGGGGGGGGAGATCTATGATAAAGTGGGCTGCTTCCCAGCCTTCTCTATCACTGGTGGGATTCAGTTTTCTCCTATGTGCTAAGACATTTACACACATCCCTCTGCTTCCCAGCTTCTCATGCTTCAGTGCTATTGCCACCTCTCTTAGTGCCCTGTCCTAGTGGGTTTCTTCCTTTGCTTAAGCATCCCTTACCTGTCATGTTAGTGGGGATTCAGGAAAGAGCATGAGTATGTGGCCAGTTTGTATCTGCCCCAGAAGTTCATGTCATTTTCCCTATTGTTACATTTGTACTTTCACTCTTGTTTATGTGACTCTTGATATCTTGTTGCCTCCATTAGACTATAAGCTCCATGAGGCCAGTGCCTGTGTTTGTTTTTCCCATCCATAACCCCACCTGTTTTATATTTAGTGGCTAGAACAATCCCTTGTGCATGACGGGCACTAAAACATATTTATTGGATAGTTTAAACCTCTTCCCTTTGTTGGATCTGGAATTTCCTCTCATCCATCAAGATGCACATACACCCCCTCTTTGGGGCCCTGGGGACTCCCCCACGCAGAGCTGGGTGCTTTGTTCTGCCAGGTCTCACAGCCACACCAGCTTGTAATTCATCTCCTTCCCTCTAGGCTGGCAGTTCCTGAGGACAGGGCTGGGTCTGAGTCATCATCCTGACTTACCCAGCACTGGGTCAATGAATGTGGGAACCCCTTCCCCTCTAGTTTGAGAACTGTAGTGGGGACTTGGCAGCCAGCCTCATACAACCTCCATTCCACATCTTTCTTTTGAAAGTTTGTTTACATTAGAGAGGTTGTATAAACAGGAAACGAAGCCATCTATTCTCTGGAGGCACTTGAGTCATTCCTAATGCTCTGAAAGCTGAGAATTAATGGTCATTAAGGAGCATTTTTGTTTTCAATAGCTTTTTTGTTGGCTTCCTTAAAATAGTTCATCTCTCATCATGGAAGGCAGAAGGTGAGTCTGGGGAGTCTTGAGCCTGGTTCCAGAGCTCCTGGGGCTGTTGCTGGCTGTGCCTGCTGCCCATGAGGATGACCAAGATGGCAGTGCTGCCATTTGTGGTATATTCACTCTAGCGCAATCTTGTGACCAGGCTTCCTGGGTCTGGGAGGAGTTGGGAGGCTGAGGCTTTTCTTCCTTCTCCATGGCATGAGTAGGGTCACTCTGCTTCACAGGGGAGTTGGGGATGAACTGCCTATTACCACACCTGCTCGGCACATGGGTGGGGCTTGGGGAATGTTGGCTACCATCATTGTTCCCCAGCAGTCCACAAACCCTTTGTGGAGGCCAGTTAAAGCACTGCCTGGTCACATTGTGCAACTTTCTGCAAATCTTCCTTAAAAATTAGTCAGTTCAGAGTCAGCAGAACAATGGCAGATGCCTGGAAACTTCCATTAAGATGATCAATCCCTGTAAAAGAAATGGATTTGGGTATTGTGAAGCAGGAGATCTAAAGAATATAGTGAATTGTTCCAGACAAGGAAGTCAGTACTCCAAACAAGAAGAAAAAGTCAAGCAGCCCAGTAGGAAACAGCCCAGCAGGAAATGGACAAATGGTATGAACAAGAAAGCATAGAGGACAAATCCAGAATGGCAGTGAACGTGTGGCAGTTGCTTACCCTCAAAGGTGATAAGGGAAACTATTTAATCACAGTGAGATGCCAGTTCACACCAGCAGCCTGGCAGATTGTAAAAAAATATTATAACGCCACATGTTATAATATTCCGAGTGTCACTGGGAGTGTGGAGCAACATTACCCAGCCAAACATCCCGGGGCCCACCCCTCTTGTATTACCCTCTGTCCCCGGCACAGGAGTCTACCATTTTGAATCTGGTGTGCTTGAGTATGACAAACATCTTTGAACTGTTACAATATATCATTCAAACCCATTGTTTGAAAAAAAGCAAACAAAACCTAGTAAGTTTAATGAAATTTTCTACTGAATTAGCTGCCTGGTGGGGTCTAGCCAGAGATCATAGGAATAATGCATTTATCCTTGGAGGAGCTCATCCTGTCCAGTGACTTCTTGTGGAGTCATTAAGTAAGTGGCTTTCCTTATTTCTGAAGAAGCCTACCTGTCCCTGGGAGAAGAAGGTCCCAGTGGTGATGCCCCAAGGGTCCCAGTGCCATTCTCAGTAACCCTCTGAAACTTTCCCCGAGAAGTCTCAGTGGAGCTCCTACCAATCTGCAGATTGTTGTGGCAAAATGTACATAATATTTATCATTTTAACCATTTTTAAATGTACAGTTCTTTGCAATTGAATACATTCACATTGTTGTGCAGCCATCACTACCATCCATCTCCAGAACTTTTCTCATCGTTCCAAATTGGACCTCTCTATCCATTAAACAGTAACTCCCCATTATCCCCTCTCCCAGTCCCTGACAACAACCATTCTGCTTTCTGCCTCTATCAATTTGACTCCTCTAAGTCCCTTGTGTAAGTGGAATCATACAGTATCCATCCTTTTATGTCTGTCTTTTTTCACTTAGCATGTTCTTTAAGGTGCACCCATGTAAGCATGTGTCAACGCTGTCCGTTTTAAAGGTTGCATAATATTCCATTGTATGTATAATACATATTTTGTTTATCCTGTTGATAAGCTACTTGGGTTGCTTCCGCCTTTTGGCTATTGTGTATAATGCTGCTGTAAACATGAATGTGCAAGTATCTGTTCAAGTTCCCGCTGCTATTGTTTTTAGACCATAGGAAAGACATTTGGCCCAGCCCCTTGTTTTGCCATGAAGCCCAGAAGGTAGCGTCTGCCGAGCACCTGCAGCCAGGGATGGGACTCAGAAGCCAGGCTGCAGCACTTCCAGGGTGTATCCTCTTGTGGTGACCTCTTGCTGCTGGGCTGAGGAGCCCCTCAGAGGCCATGCACATTGATACGATTCCAATCTTTCTCCTCTTTACAGCTATGCCCTTTGCTTTCTGTACAAGAGAAAAGCTTCCTTGGACAGAATTTGCCGAGTCAGCAGAGGACGGGCCCACCACCAGATTCTGTCAGAAGGTAGGACGTTAACTGCTCCTCTGGCAGCAGCTGCCAAACACATGCAGGTTACAGGGCATGGCCACAGTTGTCGGATGTGGCCCTTCACCATGGAAAACGAACCCCTTTCGTGCTTATTTTACCAGGAAAAATTAAATAAGATTACTTGCTGCCTTTTTTAGTGTACTTTCACTTAATATCACAGAGCTTCGGAGCTGGAAAGGCCCTTAGTGGCTTTTTCAGGTGAGAGAGCTGCAGCCCAAGGAGGGGTGGTCTGAGGGTGACTTCTGTAGTAAGTTCTGCAGCTGGCAAGTGGCAGAGCTGGCACTTAGGGACCAGGGATGCTGATTCTTTGTCTAGAGCTCTGCCTGCTCCACTTGCAGTTTGCTTGAGTCACATGAGCTTCTATGGCCTGTCTCATCAGTATAAAAATTGGTTTTGATTTTTCTTTATTATAACCTCATAATATATGTTGTATGATCCCACTTATTAAAATGTCCAGAACAGGCATCCATAGAGACAGAAAGCAGATTAGTGGTTGCCAGGGTCTGAGGTCACTGGGGAAGGGGAGTGACTGCTAATGGGTACAGAGTTTCCATTTGGGGTGATGAAAATGTTCTAAAATTAGACCACGGTGATGATGGCACAATTCTGTGAATATACTGAAAACCACTGAATTGTACACTTAAAAGAGTGAATTTTATGCTGTGTGAATTACATCTTAATAAAGCTGATATCAAAAAAAACCCCATAACTTTCAAAGAAGTGACAAATGGTAATTTATCCTTATTCTCACCTCAAACAAAAGAATGCCTTTCATTTCTCTGTGTTCTCTTTTAGACTATACATATACCGAGGAGTTTTGTGGGCAGAGCTGTAGTCATAAAAAAATTATTTGTACTGAATTGTGACTCTAAACATCAGTTTTCTGAGGCTATAGGAAAAAAATCTCTCTTTCACTGGGTTGTTTATTCCTTGCTATGGAAAAAAGAGGAAGGGGAGTGGTTAGGGGACTGTGGTAGATGGTAAGCCTAAACCAGGGCTGGAGGAAGGGTGTGAAGGAGAGCTGGTGCCAGGGTACATCGAGAGGGACCTGGGGCCCAAGGCTGCCCTTAGCATGGCTCCTAGTGTTGCCTTCCAAGTGCCTGGTCCTCTGTCCCATCATTAAGGTCAGAGGTAACAATGGGCTAGTTACAGTTAAGGACAAATGACTGGCTAGGGCTGCTCATCCTGATGGTTATCAGGTCCTGACATTTTTATTTGAGACAAAGGAATTTGGTGTCGAAGAGCTTTTTTTTTTTTTTTTGTATAGGTGAGAAGTATGATGACGATGATTTTTTTTATTGTGGTAAAAAACATATAAAAGAAAATTTTACCATCTTAACCATTTTTAAGTATATAGTTCAGTAGTGTAAAGTATATTCATATTGTTGTGCAAAAGATGTCCAGAACTTTTGAATCTTGCAAATCTAAAACTGTACCCATTAAACAATAGCTCCACATTCCCCACTCCCAGCTCCTGGCAACCACCATGCTACTTTCTGTTTCTGTGGATTTGCCTATACAAGTACCCTATATAAGTGGGCTCGTACACTATTTGTCTTTTTGTGACTGGCTTATTTCATAATTGTCATATGCCATTATTAGCATAACATCCCCAAGGTTCATCCATGTGACAGGATTTCCTTCCTTTTTAAGGCTGAATAATATTCCATTAATATGTAAATACACCATATTTTGTTCATTCATCCATTGATAGACATTCGGGTTGCTTATTTACTCTTGGCTATTGTGAATAACGCTACTATGAACATGGGTGTACAAACATCTCTTAGAGTCCCTGCTTTCAGTTCTTTNGGATCCGAACCTGCGGCGGAAGCGCTGCTGCACTCCCAGCGCTGCACTCTCCCAAGTGCGCCACGGGCTCGGCCCGTAATGAAATTGTTTTCTTAATTTCCTTTTCAGATTGCTCATTATTAGTGTATAGCAACACAACTGATTTTTGTGTGTCAATTTTGTATCCTGCAACTTTGCTAAATTTGTTTATCTATTGCAACGGGGTTTTTTTGTTTTGTTTTGTCTTGTTTTTTAAGAATCTCAAGGGTTTAGTACTTTGTTTCTAAGATTCAATCATGTTGATATCATTACCTCTGACTACTATTTAGTATGCAAACAGGTGAGTACATTCCCTTTTTAGTGATGTTTCCCTTAACAATGCACTCCTAGGTTTCCTCGAATCCCTTGTTACCCAAACAATGGTGCAAGAAACATTCTTGAATGTGTCCCTTTATAGTTGGGTGCACAAGTTTCTTTATGGTATATACCCAGGAGTGGGATTGCTGGGTCCTAGGGTGTATGGATAAGTTATTTCATCAAGGATTGCCAGAATCTGTTTCAGAATAACAACACCACTCTATACCCCCAGCAGTGGTACATATTTGGTTCCTGTTTTCCCATGAACTGGCCAACATTTTAGGTTATCTTTCTTTCTGTTTTGCCAATTGGATGGTTGTAAAGAGCTATCTAATTTTTCCGTCAATGATGAGGTTAAGCCTCTCTTCACATACTTATTAACCATTTAGACTTCCTCTCACTTATTCATTTAATTTATCTATAGGATCACCATCTTTTTTCTGTTAATTTGCAAGAGATCCCTGTATAATCTAGATGTGCATCCTCTGTTGGCTGCAAATATATTCTCCCAAACTCAGCTATCTATAAATTTCATTAAACGGAAATATGTAATTTTGATACAATTCAATTAATTATATTTCTATGATATGGTTTATGCTCTTCTACCCTAAAGTCAAAAGATATTCCACATTTCCATTTGGAGTTTACCTTTGAATATGATCTTTACTTTTCTCCATAGAGTGAGCTACCTAGATCCCATCAACAACTCCCTAAATTAATCTTTTCTTCTTACTGCTTTGTGATGCCACATCTACCATAATCACGTTTTCATGCATAAAATGGGTCCGCTTTTGAGCTCTTTATTTTTTTCTGCACTATTTGCCTGTTCCTGTACAAATATCACACTCCGTTCACTACCATGGCCTTGAGGTAAGTGTAACTCTCTCTTCTTTATTCTCTCTCTCTCTCATCAAAATTGTCTTAGGTGTTTTTGGATCATTTTCATTCCTTTATACATGTTATAGAACAATTTTGTTGAGTTTCTAAAACAATTTAATAAAATTTTAAAGTTTTATTCAATGTATAAATTAATTTGGGGAGTATTGCTATATTTACAATGTTAGTTCTTTTTTACAATGTTAAATTATTTCATCAGGGCACAAAGACAATTATTATTCATATTTAGCTAAGCATGGGCATCAAGACGACACTGGCATATAGTATTCCAAACAACGAACGCAAGTGATAGCTCTGAACCACACCTAATTATTCAGTAGAATCATTGAATTCTTCTCCAATAAAAAACTATGATAATTGATTTGAAAGTGGAACTCTGCTATGTTCATCATTTTTCTAGCTGGCAAAGAAGCATGACATGGTGGTGGTGTCCCCCATCCTGGAACGAGATGAAGAGCATGGGGATGTTTTGTGGAACACTGCCGTGGTGATCTCCAATTCTGGAGCAGTCCTGGGAAAGACCAGGAAAAACCACATCCCCAGAGTGAATGATTTCAATGAGGTGAGCTGCCCATCAGATGACTAGCCCAGCTCGTGTGACTTCCTTCCTTGCATAGGTCTCTGTGGCCTTTCTGTGGGGGATGTTCTGTGTAGGATCATGCTCCACATCATGCAGCGCTGGAGCACAGCATGGTAGCTGTGGTGCTCAGGGTCTCCTGACATTACCTGCATTACACAGGCAGACAGCATTCAGGTGGGACTCTCACAGGAGCCCAAACACCTTTAGCACAGTGGGGTATACAAAGAGATTTGGCTTCCTGAAATTCTTCTTTGAATTAACTGGTGTATAAATTAAAACCAAAAAGTGCACAAACGTGAAATGATTCCTGGGTTCCTTTCGGGCTCTGAGCTCCTAGCCTGTCATGGTCTGTTCCTTGTCTGTAGCTCACATGATATCTTAGTTGGTCCACGTCACATGTCAGGGTGACAGTGGGTGAATGTGCATGTCTGTGTACATGTGCGTTTTACATGGGGCTTCTTGTGCCCATAATCAGGGCCTAAGTCAGGGGCTGTTTTGATTGGTTGATGCCAATTTGTGGGTGGATGAGAGGGAGGGAGTACAAGTTTGCAGGAGGGAAATGATTGCCGCCTAATGCCTAAGATACTAAATCTACTTGATTTGCAATAAATACAGTTGTTGAGTATGTGCTGTCCCAGTCCTTTGTCCTTCCTCCTCAATTGTGGGGGTCCCAGCCACTCTCAGGCTAGTCAGGTGGATGACCTGGTGCATGGCTAGACAAGGTACCCCAGGGAGAAGGAAGAACACTGCGTTTCTCAGTAACAGCTGGAGGGTGGGAGTGGACAGACATGACCCTCACCTATTTACCCTGGGATTAATCTTTAGCTCCCTGCAGACAGTGTGGGGCTTTTCTTAGTGCAGCAGGATCCACTCTGGTGTCCAATATATGTGCACATCCTGGTTGCTGCCCAACCCTGGCCAATTTTGAAATGAATGGGAGGAGGCAAAAGGCCCCTGGAATGGATCTATTTGGGACCCCGACTTGCCCTCCAGCCTCCCCAGGTCTTCACCCTGAATGGCCAGGCAGGGAGCAAGGGTGGGAAGATGGGGTCCAATCTGCTTGCCCTGCAGGGATGTCCTTAATCCCAGGCAGGACACCCAAGGGGCTTTGTGGAGAAGAACACTTTTAGAGTGTGGGTTCCACACTCAGATTTGGCCTCAATCAGCTGGGCAAGTCACATGCCCACTCAGGCAACAGCTTTCTCCTTTGAGCAGGGAGAGTGTTTCTCTGGATGTGCTCTGAGTCCTTCAGCTCTAACATTCTGTATAAGGATGTGTGGTTGGTGAGGGCATTGGCTGACTCACGTTAACACTGACCAAACCTCATCCTTTAGTTGTACCATGATCAAAACCTCATTATAGCTTTGTCCTTGAAATATTATAGAATGTTGCTTTGGGGATTTTTTGACATGTCACGAAGGAGGTTGTGATTAAATGCTTAAGCCATGGTGATTTCCCCTGATGTTGGCTTGTTATAGTGTCTGGGTCTTTGGTGGGTTTTTTTTTTTTTAACATATTGAAATTCAGGAACTTAAGTAGAGTCACAGCTGAGAGTGTTATTTTTGGACTGGTGGTGATATTTCATTTTTTCAGCCAAGTCTAAGGAAAGGGAGATTCTACAGCTCAGAGGCATCAATATATGTCCCTTTGTTTTTTCAGTCAACTTACTACATGGAGGGAAACCTGGGCCACCCCGTGTTCCAGACGCAGTTTGGAAGGATCGCAGTGAACATTTGCTATGGGCGGCACCACCCCCTCAACTGGCTCATGTACAGCATCAATGGGGCTGAGATCATCTTCAATCCATCGGCCACCACTGGAGCACTCAGGTCACTCATTGGGCAAGATCTGGGGGGGCTTCCTGGGGCCCAGCCATCTTGCGCCCAAGACTAGGCTGCAGGGCTCAGAGGTGGGTTTGGTAGACTGCAGCAGGCAGGCGAAGCCACCAGGATGTCTAACAGATCTGAGCCCTGGATCGTATATTGTATGTTTAAACAGCTTTTTAAGTGAAAAGAATTCTCAAGATGACAATTAGAATCCCCCTCCTGCCGAAGAACCACTGTATTGTAAAACTGTACTGTACTTTGCTATGATTCTGAATACTGAGATGAAAATAATACCTCCCACCCTCCCACATAGTCAGGATTCAAAAAGCTCCATTTTGTGCTGCACCCGGCGGAGCTCCGGACACGTGCGGGGAGTCACCTAGAGCCAGACTCCAAGAGCCTTACTCTCTAGGCACCAGGGGACAAAGACTTGGGAAGAGTGGCCAGCTATGGACTTGATCAGATGCAACTCCAGTTCTAGGCAAACACTTATCACTCAGGGTGATTCTGTAGATTGTCCAATAGAGCCGACTTAGTTGCTGCTTCTGTGAAGAGTGACATCGTAGTTTCCACGGGAGGAACTGGATAACTTGAAAGTAGGGCATCCTTCACCCTTCTGAAGAGAGGAATAGTGGCAGGTGAACAGGTAGTAGCAGGTGGACAGTCTGTATGTGAGGTTTTCAGATGCCTTTGCCTGAATGAGAAACCTGCCTCCATGAGGACATCAGATGTCTGGCAGCCCTGGACATCAATTCGAACAACTATCAGTGCATGAAAATACCTTCACAAGAGCTAAGGAAGCCAGGAAACAAAGAGATGTGAATTAATTTGCTAAAAGTCTCAGTTATTTTGTAGTAGAACTTGGATTCAAATCGAGGCATTGGGTTCCAAAAATCTAGTATATAAGAAATCAAAGAGGACTTCTGGTCAAGATGGTGGAATAGATGGTCCCTAGCGTCACTCTCTCCCACAAATCAACCGATTTAAACTATAAAAACATAACATCAAGTGCATATGGAACAGGGAGACGTCCAGCGGGGGAGGCAGAAGCTCCACAGAGACCACATGCCCTGCGGGGCCGCCGTCGCACGATCTGGCAGATAAGCTTCACCACCACCACCTGGCTCCATTCCCAGCCCAGCCCAGTGCGCACAGAGTGGGGAGACGTCTGGCAAGGGAGGCGAAGGCTCCACAGAAACCACACACCCTGTGGGGCTGCCACTGCCTGATCCAGCAGGTAGGCTTCACCGCAGGCACCCGGCTCCATTCCCAGCCCGGCCTAGTGCACTCGGAGAAGGGAGATGTCCGGCAGGGGAGGCGGGAACTCCACAGGGACCACACCGCTGCTGTGTGATCCAGCAGCCCAGCCCAAAGCGTACGGAGCGCAGAGACATCCAGCAAGGGAGATAGAAGCTCCGTAGAGTCCACACACCCTGTGGGAGGGCCGCCGCCGTGCGATCCAGCAGCAGGTAGGCTTCACCCCCACCACCCAGCTCCATCCCAAGCCTGGCCTAGCGTGCACAGAGCAGGGAGACATCCTGCAGGGGAAGGGGAAGCTCTGCTGAGACCACACGCTCTGCGGTGCCTCGGCGCATCCCAGCAGCCCGGGCCAGAGTGCACAGAACAGGGAGAAGTCCATCACGGGAGGTGAAAGCTCAGCAGAGACCACACACCCTGCGGTACCACCCCGTGATCCAGCAGCCCGGCAGAGTCCAAGCTGACCAGAGATGTGGCTCCCCAGAGAGGCCCAAGACCTGAGGCAACCACACACACAAGGCACTAGTGGCCAACTGAGAAGTCACTTAGTTAGCCATACCAAATTGGCAACCACAGCAACATCTTAGTCAGTCAATAGTGTCAAACCTGTG